TGCAGCACAGACAGACTCATCTCAGCGGTGTCAATAATGGCAACACTCAAAGCGTAACATATATGGATCATTAGCCAAGTAGATTTTCCACAGAAGTTGATCTACTGTGTTATACAATGTGTTCATTCCCTGTATGAAGTAGAACAATTTTAAAATGTCTGGACAGTTTTTTTTCAGTGTAAAAAGAATGTGAAAACATCATGTAAAAAATAGAAACATGTCTGATCTATTTTCAGGTTTGCAGCACAGATCCCTGTAGTTGATTCACAGCACCAATGTACTTTTCACGCTTCCAGTGTAGCCCAGTGCTGCAGTATCTGCTCACTGAACATACGATATGTGTTCAGTGTAGCTGCGGGGCACCACAAACTAACTCTACAGCTTGAGATTTAACAAACACTGAATACTTGTATGTTTTTTGAATGCATACTACGGGTGCACAAGATTGGGGAAAAAAACTGACATTGTGTGATATTTTGTTTTTGTGACAATATTTTTTTTTTTAAATCCATCAAAAGAATTAAATGAAGAATTCATGGCTCTAGAATGATGGGGTGATTTAATGCCAGACTTACCAAAGTTGAAACCAAGTGATTTTATGCACATTGGCAGTTTTCTATGAGCATAGCTTTGGCAGAGTGGTCCATTTTAAAAGTCACTATCACAGTCAATCATGTTCCTAATTGTGGGAAGTCAAAATAATAATTGTGATTAATATCACTTTATTTGTGCAGTGCAACAACTGCTGTTGCAATTCTTTTTTTGCAGTCAAAATTTCCTTTTCAGTACTTCTCTCCTGTTTCCGAGTCATGTTGCTGATAAATCACAGTAAATTATGTTCTCAGAGTTCTAGGATAAGTGAAGTTTTTGTTTTCCTCATTTACAAGTCAAAGATTGTTGACATGCAGGGTCTATAGTGCATATATAGAGCCTTGCTAACATCACAGTAAATTATGTTCTATCAGACTTTTCTTGTACATTTGTCATGAAAAATGACGATTGTGTTTGCGTTTCTTTTTGTATCAAGCAGTATTGCAACACACATACAGTGGGGCAAAAAAGTATTTAGTCAGCCACTGACTGTGCAAGCTCTCCTACTTAGAAAGATGAGAGGGGTCTGTAATTTTCATCATAGGTACACTTCAACTATGAGAGACAAAATGAGAAAAAAAAGAATGTATCTGTAAATTGTGTTGGAAAATAAGTGTTTGGTCAATAACAGAAGTTATAGCCCTTCACACAGCTGACGCTTAGGTTATTCGAAGTTTTTAGTAGATTTGGTAATTATAAAATAGTCATTTAAAGGTCCCGGCAGACACCCGAGACACTCAAATTTTCTGCAAGGAAATTTTCTAGTTCTAATTCTTTTTTCTCATTTTGTCTCTCATAGTTAAAGTGTACCTATGATGAAAATTACAGACCTCTCTCATCTTTCTAAAGTAGGAGAACTTGCACAATCAGTGGCTGACTAAATACTTTTTTGCCCAACTGTAAAT